TAACGAAGATTCTTATAACGAAGTCCTGATCGGCTGGATCAGCAACTTCGTTATATCGAGGTGTGACTGTATATATATTATAATGTATATGACTTCCTAGTATTTATATCTGAAAAATATGGTTATACGTATCAATATCAAGATAACTACTTGAAGAGATGAATTATTAGAGATACGATTTTAAACAAACATACAAGAAGAAAAGAAATTCTCCAATCTATTAATGATTATAAATTTCGCAACTGGTAGTATAAACAATATATTAAAAGGTAAGTTTAAAATAAAGCATCTTCAACTATAGTTGCTATCTATACCTCATACTATAGAATTCCATCCTATTTCAAATCCTATACTATATTTAAAATCTCATATTCCATATCTCAAATTCTAAATCCCAATCTTAAATCTCAAATCCCATTTAATTTATAATATATTTTTAAGTATATTTTAATTAATATCTCACTTATAAAAATAAAATAATAATCATTTGAATCTATTCATAAAGATGAAGCTAATGAACTAAAATATCATTAAATTATTATCATTAATTATAATGATATTATTTGTTAAAGTTTTAATTTAAGAAATAGAATTTAAAGTAGGATGGGATTAGGATTTTATTTTATACTAATATAAATAGGTAATAAGTATATCTTCAATTAAAGCTTTCATTCTAATCTATTTTTTACTTAAAAAAGGATAAATTGACTTTAGTATTATATAATAGTGATTGTATAACTGACTATAAAACTTATGTATAGGTTAAAATGACTATAGCAAAAAATATTATACATAAATATATGAAAAAAAAAAATGAGTTGGCTCCTTTATTGTTACAAAAGTTAGTTATGTTAATGAAGAGTAATGCAAGTGTATTAGTGATTCTGATTTATAAATTTAAAAGAAACTAGCTCTTAATAGATGCTAAAGAATATGTTAATTATATAAAATAGGAAATAAACTTAATATCTTTTAACTAAATAATAATATTATTTATCTCAATTATATTTATAATTTATTCATAATATAATTTATTTTTTTGCAAAATGAATAGCTAACTATAGAAGGGATAATCAAATAAAAATAAATCTGATATTTTATTATAATATTTTTGTTATAAATAAATCACTAAAATTTCTATAAATCAATAAATTTACTGTAAATCACTAATTTATTAATAAAATTATATTAGACAAGATTTATAATAAAACTGTATCTAAACTTTTAGTCTCTATTCTAAATATGATATGAAATATATTTTAAACTTTTTATATTATACTGATAACTATTAGTTTAAAAATCTAGTTGAAATAGAAAAGGAATATGATTATTTATCTATTATTAAATCTCATAAAATACCTCAATAGTGGGTTGATCATATAAGAACTCTTTTATAAGAATTACTTTTTAAAAATATATAGTATTTTATGTATTCTATCTTTTTACATCATTTAGGCAAAGAGTAATCAAGATATACTATGACTATATTAGTAATAAGATAAAAGATATTTCACATGAGTATTATAGACTTAGTGTTCATAAAAATCAGATGGTATTCTGTTTTAAAACTAAAATTAATAAAGATTATCAAAGTAAAGTCAAGAAAGGTATATTATGATGGATAATATAAATGGATCTATAAAGTTAAATCTAAAGATTTGATGAAAAATTATTAAGACTAGAAATGTAATAATTTTTTAATTGATTTTGAATATGCAAAGGTTAAGAAATAAGTTTTTGATAATTTTAAAAAGATAAATTAAAATTCAGAATGTAAATTTTAAGAAAAGCAATTTAAAATATTAGTATTCTGTAAAGGATAAGCCACAATCATTATCTTCTTCTTTATTATTATAAAAATCTGTTACATTAATGGGTAATCTCAATAAATACCCTATATAATATAGTGCAAGTAAATCTAAGATTAAAAATATTTGAAGCAATCATTTTAATAAGACTAGTTTAAGCAATCTTGCTGAGCATATTTCAATTCTATGCAAAAAAAGCAAAAAAAAAATAAACTTAATATTTTTTAATTAAATAATAACTTATTTATCTTAACTATATTCATAACTTATTTATGATATAATTTATTTTTTTTATAGAATGATTAGCTATATTTTTGCATATATGATTGCTTAGTAAATTTGTGAAATGTATTATTTGTAAGGATGGCAAATTAATGGTTAATTAAAATTTGGTTAATTAACTAGTTAATTAACTGATAATTAACCGTTAATTAACTGATAATTAACTGTTAATTAACTGTTAATTAATCATTAATTAACCGTTAATTAACCATTAATTAACCGTTAATTAACCATTAATTAACCATAATATAAATTTTAATATAAGATTTTATATAAAAAAAATTTTTTTAATTTTTTATTTATCGTTATCGTAATATTAATCATTATCGCAATATTACTTATTAAACAAAAATTTATTATTTCAATAGCTATATATTGATATTGTTATAATAAATTTATTACATTTGATTCAAATCTGAAAATACTATCATCAAAATTCAATAAATTATCGTCATTATCATTGTCTCCTTCATTGTCTCCTTCATTATTATCCTCTTTATTCTTTATGAATTTTTTGCCTTTATTACATAACTTTATTTTTTTAAACTCATCATACATCCAGAGATTTTTATAAATATAAACTAACTTTTTAACGCAATCATTATATAATCAATTTCAGATTTTGCTATGAATAAATCCAAAAGTAGAAAAATTTTTTTTTGCAGCTGCTGATGATGTAGAAATTAAAAAAATTTTGATAGCCAATTGCTGAAGTTCACAACTTGGCTATGATTGCCACTACACAGAAGGACTAAGAGTAGATGATGACATCCAAATTATTTCATTATCATATGGTGAAGCTTTTTGGCGAAATTTTACTAGCTCAATAAACAATGTTACAGATTTCTCCTGATCAAACAATTTGTTAGTAAATGCTGTAAATTCAGAATATCCAGTTGCCTCTAAATCTGTATTCCTACTTTCTTCTAAAAAATATGGATCTAACATATAAGCAGTCATCATAATAGAATGATATGCATACTCCCATCTTTTTTGAATAAGTTGCTGAATATTTTTAGATAAATGTCATGAAACTTTACCAAATTATTCTATTAATTTGCTATAATATAAATAAATTGTTGAGAGAATAGATGTATCTGATTCAAAAGACTTTAATACTATAACTATTAATTCTAAAATATTAATTATCAAATCTACCATTTGTTAAAATTCATCTGATAATATATTATTTCTCATTATTTGATCCATTTTTTGGTGAATCAAAGGATCTATCAATGATTATTCAAGAGCAATTCTTGATTTTTAAAGTGATTGAAAATAGCTAAGATGTGTACTCCATTATGTAAGTACTGGTAAAACTAATGTAATCTTTTTGTTATAATTTTCTAATTGAATACGTTTTAATTTTACTACTATTTGTAAATAAGATCTAAAATAGATTACTATTAATAATATGAGAATTACACCCAAGACAAATAATATTAGGATATTTTTCTTCAATATTTCTCTATGCTGCTTTCATTATATTAGTTGTATTTATAATAAATGCTGAAAACTTTTGGATACTAATAATATCCATTTGTTAAATTATTTGATTTGCAATCTATTCTGCTATATGAAATTCTTCACCTGAAAAAGTTGCATCAAAAAAATGGTTTTGAAGTACAAATAATAAAATTAAATACCAATCCATTTTTAGATTGACATCATATAATAAGAATATCAAGTGATGAAGGATTTAGATAAATGAATCACAAATTCTAATACATCTTGAGGAAAGTTTATAACATTATCTTGATATGCATATTGACTTTTACAAAGATGATATATTGAAATAATAAGAAAATTTTACGCAATCAACATTTCTTTTATCTTGGTAAGGCCATGTAATTCTTCTGGGATTTCACCAAAATCCATATTATTTGCAGCTGAAAATTTTTTATTTGTCTTTTATCATAATAGCAGTGGTAACACATATCTTATACAAGGTCAACAAATGAGAATTTTTCATTACATACAGGATAATGTTTATTAGTGAGATTATTTATCTTAGTATGAAAGTCTTTCAAGAGATTTTGATTATATTCAGGAAGTTGATTGATAATAGTATCTTTATTATGACTTTCATTCTACCAGTTATTATGTTCATTATTATTATGATTATATTCAGTAAGCTGCTGATTAACAATATTTTGATTATGATTTTTATCAATTCTTTCTAATATATGTCTCGTTCTTATTTTATGTTTTTGTTTATAATTTCTGCTCAGACGCTTCTCACATTGTTCTAGAGTTTCAAATAATTTTTCATTCCTTTATTTTTTTGATCATTTGCTTGATATGTCTCTTTTTGATTTATACTTTCTGATGACCTTTTCATCTATTTATTTTCTCAATCATTAGTGTGATGTGTTTTACAATGATTGATACTTTTATTTTTTTAGGATTTGCATTTGCAGAGGGTTGATTTGTTAGTCATTTCATGAATATTTTTTTCTTACTTTTTTTTATAACAATTTTATTAAAAAGAACAAATTCAATTATTTATACAAAAAATTTAATATCATCAGTTTAATATTTATTTATTATAATTTTAATAGTCAAATTAATTTTTAAAGTACATTCATTGATTAACATTTGAATTTAATATTTTTATTTATAGTTTAATTTTTTTAGTTTATTTTTTATTTAATAGTTCATACTATATATAAAAGATATATAGTTTGTTATACCTGATCTTAAATTTCATAAAATATAAAAATAAACAAATGTGTAAAAGGCAAGTGTTTATGTTACACCTAATCTTAAATTTTGATTAGTTAATTGTGTGACAGACAAATGAATATTACATGATTTTGACTGTAACAAAAATATCTTTTGCTATGCTTTAGACTAGAATTCTGAACAGATCAGGTCAGTTCAGGTTAATTGGTTAACCAAAACTGATTTTTTTCAGGTTAAACCAAGTTAAATTAAAACAGGTAAACTGATTTAACCTGAATTGACCTGTTTAATCTAAAAATTTTCAGGTTAATATATTCAGATCTAATTAGGTATATTTAAGTCAAAACAAATTAGAGATAATCAGATTAATTCAGGTACCTGTAGATAATAATTTGCTATTTTTTTAAAAAAATTGTATTAGAAAATTTTCTCAAACCTTTTTTTTCTCACACAATCATTTTTAGTATATTAATTTTATATTGACATCATCTTTTAATTCAAAGTTACACTAAAGTTGTGAGCCAATCAGAAAATTCATTTTATGTTAATTTATTTTCTTATAAAAAAAAGGCATTTAAAAAAATGTTTAATTATAAAATCTATATGTTAATAGCTCTCGTATTTTTATTCATTTTAATTTATTTTGGTTAAGTAAAAAGTAAGAAAATATAACAAATTCCTCATTTTATCTCCATTCCCATTTCAATAAAACCTCTAATATTAAAAATCAATTATTTTTCATCATCCTTTTTATTAGAAAAATTATTTTTGTATTGTCAATAAATGGTCATAATTTTTCTTATACTTTCAAATTATTAGCAGCACTTTTATTGGAATTAGAATCACTAAGAGTTTGTAACATTAGATTATTTATTATAAAAAAATCTAAATTTAAGTATAGAATCTTAACGATCCCTTTCTCTTTTTTTTAGCGAACCTGGACAAACAAATAATTAGGACTCTAAACGAAACGAATAAGATAAGTTTCATTCATTTATATTTTTTTTGCTTCTAGGATACGTAATTAACGTTCCCTTTCTTTTTTTAGCAAATCTAGATGAACAAATAATCAGAACTTTGAACGAAACGAATAAGGTAAGTTTCGTTTATTCATTTTTTTTGCTTTAGGATACGTAATTAACATTCCCTTTCTCTTTTTTAGCAAACCTAGACGAACAAACAACCAGGACTTTGAATAAAATGAACAAGATAAGTTTCATTTGTTCATTTTTTTTTTTGCTTTTAGGATATGTAATTAACATTCTTTTTCTCTTTTTTAGCAAACTTGAATGAACAAATGACCAGGTCTTTGAACAAAATAAACAAGATAAGTTTCGTTCATTCATTTTTTTTTGCTTTTAGGATATATAATTAATATTCCCTTTTTCTTTTTTAGTAAATCTGAACAAACAAATGACCAGAACTTTTGAACAAAATGAATAAGATAAGTTTCATTTATTCATTTTTTTGCTTTTAGGGTATGTAATTAATGTTCCTTTCTCTTTTTATAGTAAACTTTGATGAATTAAAAACTAAGACTTTGAACCTTTAAATGAAATGAACAAAATAAGTTTCGTTCATTTGCTTTTATTTTATTTTTTTTGTTTTTAAAAAATGTAATTAACATTTTCTTTTTCTTTTTTTAGCGAATCTGGATGAACAAATGATCAGGACTTTGAACCTTTGAATGAAATTAATAAGATAAATTTTATTCATTTGATTTATTTTATTTTTTTTGCTTTAGAAAATGTAATTAATGTTTCCTTTTTCTTTTTTTTAGCGAACCTGGACAAATAAATGATCAGAACTTTAAACGAAATAAACGAAATAAGTTTTGTTCATTTTATTTTATTTTTTTTGCTTTTGGAAGCATTAGTAAAAAAATCCTTTCTCTCTTTTTATCAGATCAGATTTTTTTTAAAATCTGGTTCAATCTGATTTATTAAGAGCATTATTATGTGTAAAGAATGGCATTTATAGCAGATGTAATATATTTAATATATTTGTAATTGAGTAAATGTATATATAGCAGATTTATTAGATGAAAATTCTTGATGGTGAAGCTGTTCGTGATGATATTTATAATAGTGATTAGCAATTAATTTAATTATACAAGTATTATTAATATTATTATTTATTAATTATTATTATTAATCAAGATATTCAAAAAAAAAGAAAATGAAAATGAAAATATAAAATGTTTTAAGAAAATAAAAAATAAAAAATAATAAAGAAAGATATTATATTTAATGAATCCAATTTTTAATGCATATGCATGCTCGAAAAGATTCATAATTCAAGTTAAATCTTCTTTTTGTGATTAGGTCAGAACCTTTGAAAAAGACTCTTTTTACAAAAACACTTATTTCTATATAATGAAAATCCATTGTGCATTAGTTAATATTTATTAATACCTAAAAAAAAGCTTTTAGTTACAATACCCAGAATTGCTAAATAGTCATGTGCCATACTAAAAAGGTATAGATATCATTCTTTGTTATGCTATAATTATATTAAATAAAATTACTATATATAATTAATTATTTATTTTTATATCACTAAGTTAAATGTAATTTACCTTTCACCAAATTAAAGGATTCATTTTAACTCCTTTAACTGACTTATTAAGATAGTCTTCTACTTCAAGTTCATAATTGTAATTACTATCTTTGTTATTGTTATTAATAGATCCAAATATCTCATATAAAAAATCATTTTCATTATTATTTAATCATCAAGATTATCATTATTAAGCAGATTAGTTTTATTAGTATAATTATTTTTATAAATATTTATAAAAATTGATTTCATTATGTCAATAAATTTTTATTCTCATTGTTACTTTTTGTAATAATTTAACTTTAACTTGGAATTGAGGACTAAATAATAAATCTTTTTTAAAAAAAAATATTTAATATTAAATAAAAAAAAATTTTCTTACTTGTTGCAATAGTATATAGGTGAGAATTATTGGTCTTAGAATAATATAGTTTTAGTTTTTCATATCCTATTGCTATTGCATTACGTATTTCTGAATATCAACAATAATTTTCATAATCTTTATATAATAAATTTTCAATATGTTCAAGAATCATATTATATATAGGTACAAATGATGATAAAGTTATATAATTTGACATTAATATATATTTGGTAGCTTTATAAAATTTCTAAAAATATTATTAATTTATTAATAAGAAGTTTTGAATAATAAAAGAAAAAATAAAATTAAACTTACTTCAAAAATACAACATAATTCTTTTATAATATTCCACTCATTAGAAGAAATGAAAAATTTATTAAATCTTCTTTAAGTGATGTAATATCATTAAGAAGCTAATAAATAAAATAAATATGTTAGTATTTTTTTCATGTATATTTGTTAAATACTTAAATTTACTTATATCTTAAAGTTTTAATGCATATTTTAATATGAGATATGTTGAATTCCATCTTGTTTAACGTCTAAAATAAGATTTAATGATTTGATTTTATATAATTTACAACAACCTGCAAACTTATCTCTCTGTTAAGGTGATGCTCAAATTTTAACTATTAATTTTCGTAATTTTGGAATTGTTTCCTTACAATTCTGAGGATTTTCATCCATTAAATATTATTTTCATTTTGAGGTTCATCAGCTTTTACGTATTTTAATATTTCTTATGTAGTTAAATTTATAATATGAGCTAAACATCTAACATAATTTTTTTTATGAAATTAAATTTATTAAAATAAATATTAAATTTAAATTTATTTTAAAAATAAAAATATAAAATATAAAAATATTATCTTATTCAAAATATTGAAATTATTTTCAATACAACTTAAAAACTCTTTTGCCAAATTCTCATCAGAATGAGATCCTAATACTGTATATAAATAAAATCAACAAGTATGTTATAAAGATTTCAATGATTATCGATAAAATGACATGTTATTTCTAAGAATGCGATAGTATTTGTTGATGTTTAACAATCTAATATAAAACTTAATTTTCCTGAAATATTCTTTTTAATTAAAATAAATATAGTAAGTATTTTATGTTATAATTATATATTTAATTTTATATTTAATTTTAGAATTTAAAAAAAATAATAATCTGTAATTTATTTTTTATGCTTATTTGATAATTTTTATATAACTTTAAAATGTCATTTCAAATTGTATCTGCTGATAAAATAGTAATATTTGAATTGTATAATTTTAATAATTCTTGAAATACAGAACACTCAACTACTGTAAATGGCTAATCATTAATAGAAATCCAAATCACTAATTGTTTTTAAAAAGTTTTATTACTAAATACAACCTATAAAAAAATTAATTTTATAAATAATAAAAATATAATATAAAATGTAATATATAATATATTTACAATTTCTTTATTGTCATTTAAAAATTTTTCATAAATAATACTTGTTTCTCAACTGTAAGATTAATTTTATTTATGTAGTTTTTTAAATGTTTATTTAAATTTCCAGTACTTCTATTAGTTTTTCCATTTATTCTAAATTTTATATTACTATTATTTATAATAATAAAAATAAATATATAAAATTTATTAGAATAAATTATATTTATTGTAATATAAACTATATTTACCTGCAATATTTACACTTTGCTCATTTTTTATTATGTTTATCTATAAATTTTTCAAAATATTTCCAAAAAAAACTTCTTTCAAATTTTTTATCATTTTCTTTTAATATATTATCTTCTTTTCTAAAATTTCATCATCTTTTTCAATAATAATTTCTTTTGTAAAATTATCTTCAAGATTATCTATTTCATTATTATTATTATTTATATTATTATCTATTTCTTTATTCTATATTTCTTCATTATTTATTTCTTTATTCAATGTTTCTTCATTATTTATTTTTTATTCAATGTTTCTTTATCATTTATTTCAATTATATCTTTATTATAACAAATACATTTTGAATTTAAAGAATTATATTTAGAATTGTTTCACTTTTGTTTCAATTTTATAAAAAATTTTTACATTAAACCATAATAATTTTTTATATTAAATTAAATTATATTTACAGTGGCTGACAAAAGAAATGCAATAACTTATTTTTAGCTTTAAACACTTATAACTTATTAACTACAAATGCTAGAAATATAATTTTTGATTCATTTTAATTCTTATATTTTGAAAAATATCCTATAAAAAAATTTTTTTTTCACTATTAATGTGTGGTATCTAGAGAGTTAGTAGAGAGTATATTCTAAATAGAATAAGTGTTATCCTACGTTAAGTAACCTCTTTAAGTTCCTGATCCTATTAAGAGATATGGTAATCTGCTTAGAAACACATTTCTGTACAATTGCCATCTAGTATAAACCACCTTGCAACAAGTTATTCTCATGTCACAAGGCTCACTAGACCTTATTGGATACTATCACCTTTGGATAGAAGGCTCACTTCAACCATAGAGCTTGTCAGGCCCTATTTTTACCAATTTAATTTATAGGATTTTACCCTATTGATGACTATTGAGACTATAGAATCAGGTCCTTTATATAGATGGTAATTTTGTATCTATAGCGTCAAATTCACCTAAGAATCGAATCCAACCTCTAACTCTAGTGATGATTCGATTTGAAAAATACTGCAATGTGCAATGCAGTCTAACATTTATTAGTCTAAATGCTCACGTGTTCAGTTATATATGAAATTCTTATGAAAATCATCTAATTTTATGCCTTAGCTGAGGTTTGAACCTATGAATATCGCAGTGTAATCTACAATAGGAACTCATACCTTACAGATTAAACTAAAATCGCCAATCCCTAGAAAACATCCTATAAAATTTTTTTTTTTTTTTTTTAGTACGGCAGTTTTGCATGATC